CCCCCGACAATGAGTGTACCACTTACACCACACCACAACAAATTTCCAATATCAGAATCAAGGCTTCTCTGGAACTTTGAAGTCACTACAATTGTTCCAGACCCAGGGCATGCCAGGTACTAGTGTTGCCAGAGTGTCTCCCCCATTTACTGTCTTCTATCATGGGCAAAACAGTTTCCATTTGGGAAATTTAACTTAATTTTATTTTTTGCACTTAACATAATCCTAATTATTGCTTTGGGTAATGAGGAAAAAAAAAAAGAAAAAATTAACAATTAAACAAATACCGAGGGAAACACCTTGTATCCACTCCATTACTCCTAACTTCCTTGGTTTTCCCTCCCAATTCCTTCAGTGAGGGTGGCAGTGCAGGAGGTTGTGGGTTTTTTCTGCTGCTCCTTCCTTCTTATTCCTTTTCCTCTGCTCCAGCATGGATGCTCCACAGGCTGCAGTCCCTTCAGGGGCTGTATTTGCTCCATTGTGGGCTTTCCAAAAGCTGTAGTCCCTTCAGGGTTTATTCTTGGTCCAACATGGGTGACCAACTGCTGTCCACAGGCTGCAGTTGCTTCAGAGTTGGTACCTGCTCCATCATGGGCCCTCCACATGCTGCAGTCCTTCAGGGGTTGTACCTGCTCCAGTGTGGGTCCTCCACAGTCCGCAGTCCCTTCAGGAGTGTATCTGTTCCAGTGTGGCTTATCCACAGCCTAGAGCTTTCTCAGAGGCATACCTCCTCTGGCATGGAACCCATGTCTCCAGCCATGTCCCCAGCAGTGTCTTTTTCCACTTCTTCATTTCTCCTCTCTCTTGCAGCTGCCACTCTGTCTTAAGTATTCAGGAGGAGATCCACCATATGCTCCTCTGACTGGTTGATGCTTTGGTGCACAGTGGGTTGTTTCCATTGGTTTCAGAGCACGCTGTAACTGACTGTAATGGGCACATGGAGTTGGATGGCCTCCTCCTGCACAAAGAACAACCACAGCCCCTTGCTGTGGAAACCTTTACGAAACCCTCCAATTTATCCCCCAAATATCCCAACCCACCACACACTTTTTGTGTGTGTGTGTTAATGAAAAATAAGGACTTCTGTAGACACTTTGCATCTTGGTGGGACCAAGAGGATGTGCTGACAAACTATGCTTGTAGTCAAGAGAGAGCAAGAGGCTGTCAAAGGAAGTATCCACTGTTCTCCACTTCCCCTTCATGTAACCCTCCCCTTTCAACCCACACGCTCAGAAATGGATCCTCTGAACACACCTGAGCAGAGGACTCCAGCATCCTCTTTGTGTTGGCAGTTGTGCTGGCCCCATGCCCTAGAGGGACATGCCCAGAGATCAGATTCCGCCCCAGTGCAATTCACATCATCCAACCAGATCTGTCCTGAGCCTTTGCCGTAATGAGCAGAGGTAAATGCCTTGATGGCATGTCCACATCCCAGCTGTTTGCAAACAACATTAGCATCTGATAGATCCCAGTTGTCATCGCAGATGGTGCCCCAGATGCCGTCATGATAAAGCTCTACTCTCCCAGCACAACGCTTTGTTCCATTCACCAGCCTGATCTGTCTGCTACCTGCAGGAAGAAGACTCAGCTGTCAACATGCAATATAATAATAATGCACAGGTCAGCGTAATGGCTGTATGTTTAAAGCACTTTTAAAGCATCACATTCTTGATATATCCCAGTTCTTCTGTTATGGTTTCTTGGGCAGGACTCCTGTGATGCTAAAACCGCATAAAGGGAACGGCCTACTCCTGCATCAGGTAAATGTTCGAACAATTCCTGTGAGATGTTGCAAACAAGAAGGAGTTTCTACTCATACTAATTATATGTGGAGACCACCTTATCTTAGAAAGCCTGAGAAGCCGTTTTCTATCTAAACTCATTTAGACAGAGACAGAGTCAGTTTCTGTTACAGATGGGTTACAAAATAAGAGAAGAGTAGAAACAGTTCTAATTTACTTTAGAAAGGCTGCAGCTATTTACAAATATAGAAATGTCACAAATTAAAATCTATTTAATACCCAAGTGACAGTCAGAATGTGTGGCAGTCATGGCCAAATTAGTGTTCTTATGACTTCTGTATTCTATTATTTCTTTTTGATTCTGTGAGATAAATTGTTTAAGAAATTCAGATGAAGAAAGTGTTATATAAATTACACGTGCTTCCTTAACTGTCATTTGTCCTTTAGAGTATATAAGCAGATGGCTATCACAAGCTCAGACCCATGCCTATTTAAGATCTGGGTGAGACCACAGCACAAGGTGGGCTAGAGGCAACCCAGGAAGCACAGTAACTCACCTGAGCAAATCACACCAACATCTTCAGCAACTCCTGTTGGCACTGTTTGAGAATGGAAGGTCTTACAGAGCATCAGCTGAGTCTCATTTCCAGCACACTGGACACTTCTTAAGCCCACAAGACCCATGCCTCGCTCAGGCCTTGGAAGGTAATAGGCTTTCTCAGCAGTTCCACACTGGAGCTGTCTGCATACCACATGAGCATCCTTAATGTCCCAGTCATCATCCAGGACTCTGCTCCACATGCCATGGACAGAGATCTCAACTCTCCCATCACAGCG